GCTCACCGCAACCTCCGCCTCCCGGGTTCAGGCAATTCTCCTGCCTCAGCCTCCTGAGTAGCTGGGATTACAGGCACGCGCCACCATGCCCAGCTAATTTTTTGTAGTTTTAGTAGAGACGGGGTTTCACCATGTTGACCAGGATGGTCTCGATCTCTTGACCTCGTGATCCACCCGCCTCGGCCTCCCACAGTGCTGGGATTACAGGCTTGAGCCACCGCGCCCGGCCTGGAAGGATTTCTTAAACAAAGCACAAATAGCTCTAAAATTATGAAGACTGATACATTTGACTACATTAATATTTTAAAATATCTATATGTCAAAAGATATAAGATGATAAGCAACCTTAGGTGTAGAGAAGTTATTTGTAATACACAATTTTGAATTAATATCTAGAGTTTATAAAGATTACCTCCAAATCAATACCAAAAAAAGTAGTTCAATTAAAAAATGCATAAAGGACATGCAAAAGCAATTCACAGAAAAGGAATCTGACAGTTAATAAACACATGAAAGATGCTGAACCCTACTGGTAGTCAGATATAGAACGTAGGTATTACTGCTTGTAAGAGAGATATAAAATATCAGTGGCATAAACAAGATAGGAATTATTTCTCTCACAAGTAAAATGTCTAGACTGGTGTGGCTTTGTTCCACGGAGTCTGCACAGGTATAATGTTATTCTTGGGTCAGAAGCCTTGGCGCTTTGTGTTTTGTTGTTCTGTTATCCATAGGGTGTTGCCCTTGTCTGTGTGGTCCATGGTGGCTTACCACCACATCTGCATTTGTCAGTGGAATGTGGGAAGGGTCAGAGAGGGCATGCTGGGCACGACCTAGAAGTTACATACGTTACATCCTCACCTAGCTTAAGGAAGTCTAGGAAATGTAGTCAGTCTTTATTCTGGGTAGCCAATTGTCCTGCTAGAAATTGGATTTTTTAAATCACTATAGTGGAAGGGAAGAAGTTTTGTGGAGGAGTATCTAGCACATCAGGTAAGTAAAATGTTTCAAACTCATTTGATTGGAGAAAAATTAACCATTTGAGAATATGTTGGCAGTGAAGTAGAGCAAAGAGAATTCTTACATGCTGCTTATGGAGCATACAGTCAGTTTGAAAAACAATTTCACAGTATTAAATAAGGTTGAGGATGTGTATACTCTGAAAAGCAGTTCTATTTCTTGGAATGTACTGTAAGGAAACTTGCACATGTGCATAAATGGATGTGTACAAGAATAAATTCAGTTATTATTTCAATTATCAAAATAATTAGAAATTTTAAAATGTCTATTAACAGAAGAATGGATCAATTGCAGTAAAGTCATATGATGGAAATCTATATAGGAATGAAAATGAGTGAAGTAGAACTTCATGTATCATTGATGCAGGGCAGGCAAGCCCCTAAATTGAGGCTTTGCCTGAAGGGCTCTTGGCTTCACCTAGGAAAAAATTCATGGGCAAGCTGGTGGTGTTAGACAGCAGCTTTTATTGAAGTACGTAGTAGTGTACAGCAATGACAGAGACACTGCTCCTAAAAGAGCAGGGCTAACCCATAGATAGTGTGCCCAGAGCAGCAGCTTAGGGGCAGTTCATATCTATACCCACTTTTAATTACATGCAAGTTAAGGGGCATGTAATTTCTAATTTTCTAACTTCTAAATTTTTAGAAAAGGGGTGGTAACTTCTGGGTGTTGCCACAGGAATGGCAAAGTGTCCAGCACTGGTGGGCATATTTTATAGAGAAGTGCTTTTGGTGCCTCTTACTTGTTTCAGCCAGTCTTCAATCTGGTCCAGAGTGGAGTCCCACCTCCTACCTCATCATCATCAAGGCATAAATATTAAAAATATATTAAGGCACAAAAACAAGTTGAAGAAGGATATGTAGAGTATGATTCCATTTATATATACAGTTTAAATGCATCCAAAACACGCTTATATGTTTGTAGAAATGCATGTACTGTTGGGTATTTGGGGGGAATCTGACAAATAGCACCTCGTTTTGCTCCCCAATGTTTCAACCAGTTGAGAAATCAAATGAGTCAGCAGATAAAAACCAAAATATCATCTTAATTATTAATTACTTTATTTCATTTGTAACACATTTAATGTGAAATTTAGTAATTTGAAACCTCAGGACCAGAGAATATGCTTTTCTTCTGTTTTCTGGAAACTCCTCTACTCTATTTTGATCTGGTGAAGAGTTTATATTTCTCTTTGCTCTTTGACTAATAGTCTTTAAAACTCCCCTTACCTTACTAATTCAATTGTTCTGTGCACAGATATTGCTAAACTATGCAGAAAACGGTTAGAAAATGTTTTGGTTTTGAACATTATTGTGGTTTAGAATGTAACTGGCTTTGAAGTTTGTATTCTTTTTTTTTTTTAGATGGAGTCTCGCTCTGTTGCCCAGACTGCAGTTCAGTGGTGCAATCTCAGCTCACTGCAACCTCCACCTCCTGGGTTCAAGTGATTCTACTACCTCAGCCTCTCGAGTAGCTGGGATTACAGGCATAAGCCACCATGCCCAGTTATTTTTTGTATTTTTAATAGAGAAGGGTTTTCGCCATGTTGGCCAGGCTGGTCTCAAACTCCTGATCTCAGGTGATCTACCCACCTTGGCCTCGCAAAGAGCTGGGATTACAGCCATGAGCCACCATGCCCAGCCCTAAAGTTTGTATTCTAACCCATCAGTTAGCAAGTATAAAATACATTTTTCTATCAATTTACCCATTCACAAAGAACTTAATTTTTTTTTTTTTTGAGACGGAGTTTCACTCTTGTTACCCAGGCTGGAGTGCAATGGCGCGATCTCGGCTCACCGCAACCTCTGCCTCCTGGGTTCAGGCAATTCTCCTGCCTCAGCCTCCTGAGTAGCTGGGATTATAGGCACGCGCCACCATGCCCAGCTAATGTTTTGTATTTTTAATAGAGATGGGGTTTCACCATGTTGACCGGGATGGTCTCGATCTCTTGACCTCATGATCCACCCGCCTCGGCCTCCCAAAGTGCTGGGATTACAGGCTTGAGCCACCGCGCCCGGCCAGAACTTAATTTTTAAGAGCATTGCAGCCAAGTGGTGGCCACTTGTGTGGAGTCAGAAGTTAAGTCTTTGGAGGGCATGTATAATATCCTGCTGTCAACTCCAAATTGCCACAAATCAGGCTTTTTAATTTACTAGTAAAAATGTTACTCAGTGCTGAACAGTTAGACGTTCATTTTCATTCTTAATCAATAGGAGTGTAATTAATGCCATCCATTTTACTGAAAAACAGTTAACAGAAGATGTCAAAAACTTTAAAAATATTTGTTCCAGGCCGGGCGCGGTGGCTCACGCCTGTAATTCCAGCACTTTGGGAGGCTGAGGTGGGTGGATCACTTGAGGTCAGGAGTTCAAGACCAGCCTGGCCAACATAGTGAAACCTCATCTTAAAAAAAAATAATAATAAATATTTGTTCTATTTAGTTCAGGAATTCTACAACTAGGCTGTAGCCCAAAGGGATTATCGGAAATGCCAAGAAAAATCTGGGCATAAAATGCTTATTAAAGCATAATTTAAAACAAGGAGAAATACCACAAAACCTAAATATTCAATTATAGGGGAATAGTCAAGTCATTTATGGGTTATGCCATAAACTAGTATCTTTTACAATTTTTTTTGAAAAATGTTATGAAACTAGAAAATTCTTGATATAATTGAATGTGAAACTTGCATATGTGTACTCTGTATAAATTGTTTACATTGCATTATATTTATAGTATAGTTTCAAGTATATGCATAGAAAAATGACCAAAATATTACCTTTTGATAATGGAATTATAAATGATTTTATTTTTGTTCTTTATAATTTTCTGTACTTAAGAAAATATAGGCCAGGTATGCTGGCTCACACCTGTAATGCCAGCACTTTGGGAGGCCGAGATTGGAGGATCGCTTGATGCCAGGAGTTTGAGACTAGCCTGGTCAACATAGCAAGACCCCATCTCAAATTAATTTTAAAAACATATATGTATATATGTACACACACACACACGTATACATATATATGGCCAGGTGCGGTGGCTCATGCTTGTAATTCCAGCACTTTGGGAGGCTGAGGTGGGTGGAGCACAAGGTCAGGAGATTGAGACCATCCGGGCCAACATGGTGAAACCCTGTCTCTACTAAAAATACAAAAATTAGCTGGGCATAGTGGCACATGCCTGTAATCCCAGCTACTTGGTAGGCTAAGGCAGGAGAATCACTTGAACCAGGGAGTCGGAAGTTACAGTGAGCAGAGATTGTGCCACTGCACTCCAGCCTGACAACAGAGCAAGATGTCTCAAAAACGAACAAACAAAAGAACATACACATATACACACACATATATATATAACAAAACCTTTGTTTTAAAAAAGAATCTTTTTGCAAAATATAGTATCATATAATATTAAAGCTCAGTCCAAGTATATTTTTTTAGTATCAGTTCCAATTTTCACATAAAATGCATCAGATTATCTAAAAAGTTTAAAGCTAAACAGTAACATATTAATAGTTTAAATCTCTCATCACACCATTCAGAAATTCTGATATCCTTTTAAAACAAATTATTCCTCATAATGATGAATTTCATATTTAACTTATAGCTTTTATTATACATTTTACTAGCCTTATCCAATTTAAATTTTATTGGACCTTTTCTTAAATAGTCTTTTAAATATTTTATAGTAAAGGTTGATTACTTAATGCATTGTTTCTCAGTCATTTTTTCATTATAACTTTCCTAAGGAGCCTTTTCAGACACCACCACCCTGTGAAATTTTAATCTGTTTATGTACTGTACGTATATCCATGCTTTATGTATGCAAAGGGTAACATTTTTTTCACCCTCCTAAGAACTCAATTTTCATCCTTTTAGAGGCAAGATTGCCCCCTTTGAGAATGTATGGCCTAATAGGGCATTATGGAAAATGTCATTTTAACTTTTACAGTGAATCTCAAGCCCACATATTTTGTTTTTATAGCTGCCTGCCTCTCAAGCATCACATGGTGAGCACTCCAACACTACTACTGTGGGGAGAGAATGACGCATTCATGGAGGTTGAAATGGCTGAAGTCACAAAGATTTATGTTAAAAACTATTTCAGGCTAACTATTTTGTCAGAAGCCAGTCATTGGCTTCAGCAAGACCAACCTGACATAGTGAACAAATTGATATGGACATTTCTAAAAGAAGAAACAAGAAAAAAAGATTGACTTTTCTTTAACTTCTATGAAGGGTCTGTAATGAAATCTCTAAATAATTTTTAAAAATTGTTCAATAACCTCTTTATGTTTTATTAGGAAAAAAACTGTTTTAATGTGCTTTATCATAAATAAATATCCTAACAAATGGCATTGAAAAAAATCTGAGATTGTGTGAACATGTAATACAATGTTGAGTTTCTCCTGGTGTATTTTGCACAGATAAGCATCTGCCTTAAAATGTATACACTTGTACAAAAAGGAAGTTTGGAGTAAGTGGCTCCGTTTTGGTTTCTTGCTTTTTTTTTTTTTAAACTCTGTTAACATATGGTGCCTTTTACAAATGTATATCAAAGATTAGCTGTGCCATATTATAAGGCAAACCTGCAAATGATATAAATTTTCACTCTATTGTTCAAAAGTTCTTTTTACTATTTTTTAACCATTAAAAAGTAATATTATCAAATCTCTTGGATTTATAGTATATTAGTTTGAAAGCAAATATAACTAAATGAATATGCATTTTTAAAATGGGCCATATACTATTTATAGTGGGAAGATTAAACCATTTTTTTATTTTTTTTTTTGAGACTGAGTTTCGCTCTTGTTGCCCAGGCTGGAGTGCAATGGCGCGATCTCGGCTCACCGCAACCTCCACCTCCTGGGTTCAGGCAATTCTCCTGCCTCAGCCTCCTGAGTAGCTGGGATTACAGGCACGCGCCACCATGCCCAACTGATTTTTTGTATTTTTAGTAGAGACGGGGTTTCACTATGTTGACCAGGATCGTCTCGATCTCTCGACCTCGTGATCCACCCGCCTCGGCCTCCCAAAGTGCTGGTATTACAGGCGTGAGCCACCGCGCCCGGCGATTAAACCATTTTTTAAAGCTGACATCTTGACTGGGTGCAGTGGCTCATGCCTGTAATATCAGCACTCTGGAAAGTCAAGGCAGGAGAATCGCTTGAGGGCAGGAGTTTGGGACCAGCTTGCCCACCAGGTTTCAACATGGTGAAACCCGACTTCTACAAAAAATAAATAAAAAATAAAATTAGGCAGGCATATGGGTGCACATCTTAAGTCCCAGCTACTCATGAGGCTGAGGCAAGATGATCACTTGTGTCCAGGGGCTTGAGGTTGCAGTGAGCCATGATTGGGCCACTGCACTCCAGCCTAGGCAATGGAGTGAGACCTTCTCAGATCAGAAAAGGAAAGGGAAGGGAAAAAGGAAAGCAAAAGGGAAAGGGAAGGAAAGGATCCATTTACCCCATTCAGTGCAACAAGAATTGAATACTACACTTCTTATGTTCACTAGAATCTAAGTTCCACAGAATAGGGATTTTTTTTGTGGTTTTGTTAACTGATACATACCCAAGTCTAGAATAAGGGCCTGGCACATTGTAGGCACTCAAATATTTGCTTAATGAATGAATAATATATCTGGCACACTGCTAGGCACTGTGGGGAAAGATATAAAAGAAAGGTAAGGTGGTAACATAAAACTTTCCTTTAAGAAGCATACATAGGCTCAGGCGTGGTGGCTCACGCTTATAATCCCAGAAATTTGGAAGGCCAAGGTGGGTGGATCACCTGAGGTCAGGAGTTTGAGACCAGCCTGGTCAACATGGTAAAACTCCGTCTTTACTAAAAATATAAAAATTATCGAGGCATGGTGGTGGGTGCCTGTAATCCCATCTACCCGGGAGGCTGAGGCCGGAGAATTGCTTTAACCTGGGAGGCACAGGGTGGAGGTTGCAGTGAGCCAAGATCCCGCAATTGCGCTCCAGCCTGGGCAACAAGAGCGAAACTCCATCTCAAAAAAAAAAAAAAGATGCGTACATAGAATGCAGTTAAATTAAACAAGGGTTTAAAAATAGAAATGAACACTATAAGTACAAGTTGGAGAAGAGTTACAGAATGGAGAAGAATACCAGCTCAGGCTGGGCGCGGTGGCTCACACCTGTAATCCCAGCACTTTGGGAGGCCGAGGTGGGCAGATCACCTGAGGTCAGGAGTGCTGGACCTATATCATCCTCATGGGTGCAAATGTCCTGCATTGCCTTCCTCTTCCTCTGGCCAGTGACCATGCTTTCCACCTTTGGCTGTCCTGCTCAAATCCTGCAACCCCGCCAAGAGTTGGAGAAGAAAACTGGTGAAACCAGTACTCAAGCTCAAGCTTCAGGTGACTTTCTTTTTAGCTGGGTTCCCGGCTAAAGTGAAAGGGAAAAAGGCAAACTGAGACGAGGTCCCTATCTTCCTTACAGCATCATGCTCCACCCCACTTTCTTTGACAGAATCCTGTGTGCTGGCGGGGTTACCCTCAGTGGTCTCTGGAAGTCAAAATGTGCAGATTCATTGGCTGCGAAATTCCTACTGTCAACACAGCTGGTGCTCGTGACCTGAGAAGACCTCAATTCCAGGAAGATACTAAGAATGAAATTCTGAAGTGAGTGACATTTGGAAACGAGTGGCCACAGATTCTGATTTTCCTAGAAGGTGTGTGCACCAATTGCTGCTGTCTAGTCACTTTTAAACTTGGGGCCTTCTGTCCAGGTGCTCCTGTGTAGCCAGTGCTGCTCAGATACCCAAACACCCTAGACACGGCAATCTGGACGTGGCAGGGATTTACACGCTTCCAGGCCTGTATGTTGACCCTCAGGCAACCATTCACCAAGGTAGAAGTTGCATTTATGAAGATTCCCGCAGCTAACCTTCAACTACGCATGGAAGCTGGGTTGGTGGAATTTACAAAAATTAGCCAGAAGTTGAAGTTAGGTTGGGGTAATATTAATCAGCATTTGGATGAATTTGCTGCAATTGCAGTTGCCTCAAAAGGAGGGAAGATAGGAATTGAAGAATTTTTAAGTTATTCAAAACTCCCAATTTCAGAGCCCTTGAGACAGCTTTTTGCCCTCTTTGGCAGGAATAACGATGGCAGGGTAGACTTCAGAGAGCATGTAATGGTTCTGACTGTCCTATGCAATCCCACCAACACTGAAAAGATTCTGCAAATGTCCTTTAAGCTTTTTGATCTTAATGTGGATGGTTTAATAACAGAACAGGAGTTTGCTGCTATAATTCAGGCAGCTTTTGGAGTGCCAAATCTTGATGTTTCCAGGCCCTTTCAGGCATAACTGGACAGAAATCAGTGTACATTTCATATAAGAAATGAGAAATTTGCCCTGAAGCATCCAGCATATGTCAAATTATTTAATTCACATCTAGACCTCCAGGCAGCCTGTATATATCCACTACCCCAAAGAGTACAGTTTTAATCACACTGTATTCAAATGTTACAGGTTAGCCCTGAAAATAGTGAAAGTACCTTCTTTCACTATTTTACCTTAGTTCACTATAGGTAGAAATGATGATTGAAACAAAAATTATTCTTTGACGAAAAACTCAACAGTTTTCACTCTAAGAGGCATCAGCACTTAATTATGATATTTAAAATATGCTTGAGGAACATTTCAGTTAGATTTCATAGTACCTATTTTTCTTCTTTCTTAAGATAATGTTTGTTTTAATGTGACCTAAATGTAGAAGAATAAGTGATCTGGTCATAAATCTTGTTCACCCAGCAGGGTTCTAGTTAGTGCCTTTATTGTATTTAATGCTATAATAAGGCCAGAGGAACATTAGAGCCAATCACCTCTCCCTCACTGTTGCAGAAGAAATATCTCATTAAGAGCTACACTGGGGTGGGCACGGTGGCTCACGCCTGTAATCCCACCACTTTGGGAGGGTGAGGTGGAGAATCGCTTGAGTCCAGGTGTTTGAGACCAGCCCAGGTAACATGACAAAACCCTGTCTCTACAAAAAAATATAAAATTAGCCCAATGTGGTGGTGTGTGCCTGTAGCCCCAGCTACTCTGGAGGCTGAGATGGGAGGATCACTTGAGCCCAGGCAGCAGATGTTGCAGTGAGCAGATATTGCGCCACTGCATCAGCTTGAGAGACAAAGACCCCATCTCAAAAAAAAGAAAAAAAAAAGGGCTACACTGACGGTAATTAAAAACATTCAATTACCATTTGCATTTCCTCTGTAAAAAGGAAAGAGCTATATAAATACCTATTAGTCATTCAAAAAGTAGCCTCAATTTTCTTATTTTTCAAGACAAAATAAATATTTAGAAGATACAGTATTGGGAATACATTGCAACAGTTACATATGGTATGCCTGTCCCCTGCTTGCCTTTTTAAAGTAAAGAAATGATTATTTAGAAGGAGAAATCACAACAGATTACAATTTCTGGAAAGCTGAAAAAATATCATAAACATAGGTCATAAATACAGGAATTTTGACAAATTTCATTTTGTTTGACTTAAAACACAAAAAAAATGTGTTTATAATTAACATGGTCTGCATTACTCAGAATATTTCTTTTGTTCCAATAAGGCATAAATGAGAATTGAAGCCTCTACTTACATTTTTTTTTTTTTTTTTTGGAAGGAGTTTCACTCTTGTTACCCAGGCTGGAGTGCAATGGCGCGATCTCGGCTCACCGCAACCTCTGCCTCCTGGGTTCAGGCAATTCTCCTGCCTCAACCTCCTGAGTAGCTGGGATTACAGGCACGTGCCACCATGCCCAACTAATGTTTTTGTATTTTTAGTAGAGATGGGGTTTCACCATGTTGACCGGGATGGTCTCGATCTCTTGACCTCGTGATCCACCCGCCTCGGCCTCCCAAAGTGCTGGGATTACAGGCTTGAGCCACCGCGCCCGGCGCCTCTACTTACATTTATTTGAGCTTCCATTTATTACATATTTATTTTCAATACTTGTTGCTATGTGACATCTTCACATAGTGATGTGACCCTTGGACCCTACCCCTTCATGTCACCATGCAGGATGAATTAGCAAAGTATTCCTGGAAACCATTCCTATACAGGGCAGAGAGCAACAACCTATCTAGACATGGAAGTGAATGTGAACTGATAAACGTACTCTATTAGCCCTAATCACTGAATCTCCTACTCAATTTCATTGTGGCTGAATCTCAAAAATGCTTGTAGCTACTCAGTAGCACCAGATATGAGGCAACACTTGACCAAAGTTTGCCAACTTTACAAAAACATAACCAAGCAAAAACATTTCTAGGGACTCTACTAGAATCCTAATAAAGGACTTATGGAAGTGGGGCCCCTAAAGCTTTAACTTTGTCAGTTTCCTGATACTTTCAGAAAGTAGAAAAAAGTAGAATGGGAGAAAGGTAAGGAGATGAGGAAGGGAAGGGAAGGGAAGAAAAGGAAAAGAAAAAAAAAAGTAAAAAAAAAAAATTATTTTGAGATAAAAAAAAAAAAAAAAAAAATTATTTTGAGATAATTTCCACGCAGTTCTGCCCTAAAAAAAAAAAAAAATTTGGATAAGTGATTTTTCCTAATACCCATCCAGTGCAATATTCCCATGACAATAAATACATATATATAATTCAGTACAATGACTTTTTAAGTGAATGTACTGAATATTGTTCATTTAAGTAAGAGGTTTCACTCAAAAGTAGTTACCAAGCAATATCTTTATTCAAACAGTGGTAGTGCTACTTAAACACTGTAGAACTCTTTTAAGGCTGTTTCTCATTAGATAGTGAGCTAAACAAAAAATCAGGGTCATTATTATACTCTCTACATTTTAACCTCAAATGTTTAGCTGGGCGTGGTGGTGCATGCCCATAGTCCCAGCTACTCAGGAGGCTGAGGTGGGAGGATTGCTTGAGCTAGAGAGGCACATGTTGCAGTGAGCTGAGATCATGCCACTGCACTCCAGCCTGGGCCACAAAGCAAGACTCTCTTTCTCTCTCTCAAAAAAAAAAAAAAAGGTTTGACACAGCTTTGTTTAAACCCTCTTTGACACTTAACATTTAATTTTTTTTAAATTTTAAACTATATACAGATACAGAAAAAGCATATCATGGAAATCTATAGTTAATAATAATTATTTTATATTATAAATATCTATGTTATATTCTAAATATAATCTGTTTTAAGATGAATACTCTTGCAACCAACACTCAGATTGAGAAATAAAACTAGTCCAGCCACCTTACAACTTTTTCTATACCCCTGTCACAATTACAAACTCTCTCTTCCTTTCAAAATTAAGCTCCTTTCCTGACTTGGATAGCTTCACTTCCTATATTTCTTTACTTTATAATCACCTAAATGTGCATGTTTTGATACTGTGATGCTTAATTTTATGTGTCAACTTGGCTAGGCCATGGTACCCAGATATTTGGTCACAGGTTATTCAAGATGTTTCTGTGATGACAGTGTTTATATGATATTAACATTTAAATCACTAAAAATACAAAAAATTAGCTGGGCATGGTGGTGCATGCCTGTAATCCCAGCTACTCAGGAGGCTGAGGCAGGAGAATTGCCTGAACCCAGGAGGC